TCTCTTATAAAGTCTATATGTCCCAGATAATTGAATCGCAATATATCGAACTACATAAAACATACTTTAAATTTATTGTGATTGATAAATCCGGATTGAGATTTTGTATGTGAACGTACTTTACTTTTTAATTCATAGGTAGTTTTTCTTTGTACCCAAGGTACAATAAGGAGGTAGAACAGCGTCGTAAAACTACAGAAATACAGCCCTGATTCACTGCCCGCTTTCTGTCAGAATCATTCTTTGTGCAATAATTTTTTATTTATTTGGTAATTTTCCTCATTTCTAAAATCAGTTAAATAGTGCTACAAATGAATGAAGTGCTGCGATTTTCTGTAAACAATATGATCCATACTGCTCAATCTATCAATTCCATGACAAAACATGTTAATGCTCGCCCCGCGTTGTACGTTTTTTATAATCACTGATTTAGAAAATATTTTGTTTCCATACCCCTCAACCATACATAGTATGGAGGGTATATGAAGTTCGTCATTCCGTTTGTAACTCATCAATTTTAGCCAAATGTTTCAATGGACTTGTCTTAACATCCACAAACGGAGTTCCGTGTGAGTACATTACCCCCTGGAAGAGAATTGTCTACATAGGTCCACGATATCGTATAGCCCACATATAACGGTACCACCCAATATTCGGTACTTTGACGATTTCAGCCAAATTTTTAATGGAATTGTCTTAAAATCCTCACAAAGGGTTCCCCCTGAGTACTTTTACTCCCAGAAGAGAATTATCTAAATAGTTCCATGTTTAAGTATAGCGCCTATAGCGCCATAACGGTACCCCCAGATTTTCGGTATTTTCATGATTTTTATGACATTATTCACTGGAATTGTTTCAAATTTCGTATATAAAGTTTGGAACGGTTACTACAGCCCATGGTACAATGAAGAGAAGGTAGGCCAACTTTGAAAAAATTGCAAGTATAGAGGTCTACCTGTTTGGCTTGTAATGTCAAAATTAGTATCAAAACAATAAAAAATCAAACAACTTGTTGCATTTATTTTGAATAAATAATTGAAAACCGCGATAACTGAATGAAAAGTCAACACTTCTTTTCAAAATCATGTACTATATATCTCTTAAGGATTATTTCGCTACAAAAACTCTAGATTTTGTCGATGCATACGTTGAAATAATCATTTTGAAAAATCCGAATTTGAATATTTTCTGAACAATTTTTTTGTTATTGAAAAGAAAACACATACATAAACAAATAAAGATAACATATTAAGAAAATAAAAAAAATTAAAATCATATGGTATCATAGCCCTACCTTGATATCATTGTACCATGCTACAGCCTATGACACAAATTACATATGCAGGACTATGTCTTCGTATATCCTGCATATAACGGTTTTCATTTAAGCGGTATTTTTCGACGGCAGTTTTTTAAATTGTTGAAGTTTATTTCTTAGCTGATTTTTTACTTATTACAAACCATGGCAGAAGAACACTAGCATACTTATGCTAAGTTCACATGGCACGTGATTCGCTCTCTATACCATGGTAGAAGAATATAGGTAGATGCATCAACGCTTGGAAACATTGATATGTCAAAGTTATTAAAATGTGTATTTTTATTTTTATATTTAGTATATTTTTAAATATTTTCTTATACGACACAAGTCGGTGTTTGTTATAATATGAATTTTTCAACAATTTTCATACGGCACAATTCGTTATTCATAGTAAAAAAATTCTTTTTTTAAAAAATTTTAATGGGCATTTATACGAAAATAAATGAAATTCTCAATAATATGAATAGAAGAAATTTTTGTTTTTCTCCCAAGGATTTATTTTATAATTAGTTTTACAAATTTCATTCACTTTTTGTGTAAAAATTTACATTTTGAACAATTTTTTTTAATTTTTCTATTTTTAAATTCTACTGGAGAGACACTTGTCAAACATTTTTTCTGCTGATACATACATTTTGAAAATATGGCCTCTTTTGTTTGCAGTTTCTGCGGAAATTTCAACTCGTGGACAAAATGCGCACCTCGGATGAGAGAGAATACAAAATTTACTTTCGTTTGAATGTACATACGCCATTCAACATTGTAGTTTTCATTCAAAATTTTCAGTCTTCCAAAAATTTTAAAATTTCATTAAATTTTTCTATTTTGAATTTTTAAATGTCATAATTTGTTTTTCGATAAATGCTTCTGAGAGTGATTTGAATGGAACAAAGAACAAAAATCTTCGTTCGCTCAGCAAATTTTGTGTGGGGAATTAAGTAGATATTTCTTATGTGGCGTTTCCACTGCACTTGATTCGCTCTCTATTCGTTGTTTGACCCTTAACTATGAAAAAACTAATTAATTATTCACACAAAATTTCTGAGCAAACACTCATATTTGTACATTATTCAAATCAAACCACTCTTAGAACAACGAAAAAATATGTCCCATCCCTAACAAATGAGAGCATTTATCGAAAAAATAAATTATGACATTTAAAAATTAAAAACTGAAAAATTTAATGAAATTTTAAAAATTTTTGGGAAGACTGAAAATTATGAATAAAAACTACAATGTTGAATGGCGTATGTACATTCAAACGAAAGTAAATTTAGTTTTCTTTCTCATTCGAGGTACGTATTTTGTCGACGAATTGAAATTTCCACAGAAAACTGTAAACAAAATAGGCAATATTTTCAAAATGTTTGTATCGGCAAAAAAATGTTTGACAAGTGTCTCTCCAGCAGAGTTTAAAAATAGAAAATACAAAAATATGTTCAAAATGTCAACATTTACGCAAAAAGTTGAAAAAGTGAATGAAAATTGTAAAATTAATGATATAATAAATCTTTGGGAGAAAAACAATAATTTCTTCTATTCATATTAGTGAGAATATCATGTATTTTCATATAAATTTCCATTAAAATCAACAAACAAAATTTTTGAAATAAGGAATTTTTGAAATGAGATCATAGCATTAATTAATGGTCGAAAAAGCGTACCATGTGAACTTAGCATAAGAAATACCTGCTTACATGGTAGAAGATACAGGTAGTCGAATCGACACTGCTGCTGGGACAATGAACTATTAAACCAATTTTGGAATTGAAAATGATGAATGAAAAGTTATTGAAAAAACTATAAAAAATTGTTGAGAAATGCTTATTATAACAACATCTCATTTGCATCGTATAAGGAAACATGTAAAAATATACTTTCTTTTGACAAAACATTTTAAAAATTTTGACACATCAAGCGTTGATGCATCTACCTATACTTTTCTACCACGCCTACTTAATTCCCACACAAAATTACAATGTTGAATGGCGTATGTACATTCAAACGAAAATAAATTTTGTTTTCTCTCTCATCCGAGGTGCGCATTTTGTCCACGAATTGAAATTTCCACAGAAAACTGGAAATTAAAGAGGCAATATTTACAAAATGTTTGTATCAGCAGAAAAAATGTTTGACAAGTGTCTCTCCAGCAGGATTTAATAATAGAAAAATATAAAAATTTGTTCAAAATGTCAACTTTAACACAAAAATTAAAAACATGAATGAAAATTGTAAAATTAATTATAAAATAAGTCCTTGGGAAAAAAATAATAATTTTTTCTATTCATATTAGTGAGAATTTCATGTATTTTTGTATAAATGCCCATTAAAATCAACAAACAGAATTTTTGAAAAAAAAAAAGATTATTTTACTATGAAGCACGAATTGCGCCGTATGACCGGGTTAATTCGTGTACCCAATTCTGAGAACCATTGTAGAAGAATACAGGTAGATGCATCAACGCTTAGAAACATTAATATGTCAAAAAAATTTAAATGTCTTTTCAAATATAAGTAGATTTCTATATGTTTTCTTATATGACGTCACTCGGAGGTTATTATAATACGCGTTTTTCAACAATTTTTACAAATTTAAATAATTTTTTCATTCAATATTTTTAATTCCAAAATTGGTTTGACAGTTTATTGTCCCAGCAGCTGTGTCGATGCGTCTACCTATATTCTTCTACCATGCTGAGAACATAGCATTACAATGAGAGCATAGTATTACCTTCTTATTGTACCAAGGTTGTACCAATGGTGACAATATGGGCGAAATCAGCTGGTGCTATCGGATGACCTGATAGATATGCCATGAGCTGGGCCAAGATAGATGTACTAGGTAATCGCATCAGCCCAGCTGACGGTACCATTAAATGTCAAAACAAATTGTTGTAATGAAGAATTCGCCCTAAATGAATGCAACAACAAATTTGTTTATGTTGTCTTCCCTAAAAGTACCGTTTTATAATATTTCAAATAATTTAAGAGCAAGTTAAGAGTGAAACCAGTAAAAAAAATTAAAAGAAAATGAAGGAAGGAGGTTAGAATGGAGTGCAGCTTTAAGAAATAAGTTAGCCTCAACATCTAATATTCCCGAAGCACATCACGGGAAGTAGTGCAAGAAATCGACTCTTGTCATTTGCAGTTCCGAAAAACTTTCGGTTTAAACCAGTAAAATATAGTCATTATAAGTTTCTTGGTTTAAAAAATATCGCAATACTACAATTAATACTTATGTTACTCTTATTTGTTTTACAATAAAAACTTTTATTGCGACGTTCGTTTACGACGAGAGGCACACAAAATAAAATGTAAAAAAAAAACATCGTTTCTGATTGGTTAAAACAAATTTGCCACAACCTTTAAATGTCATGGCGAATCTATGTTTTTCGCCTTAGATGCCAATTTTGACATTTGAGGGGACCCCAAAAGTTGCTTTGTTGTAGCAATTCGCCGATGCGGTTACCTGTTAGATCTACCTTGAGCTGGGCCTAGTTCCGATAGTTCCTGTTCTGCTTTGAACTGTTTTGTTTTGGTTCGGCATAAGTCTACTGTTGGTATAAATATTCTCTTTGTAACATTACTTATTATTTTAACAAGAAATGCTTAAACCTAAAGCCCTAACGCAAGTTCTGAGCCAGGCCTGTTCAGGAGGTGTTCAAAATACCTTGTAAGTAGACTGATATGAGTGGGAATATTAGTCCATTTGTTGTTGTGTATTAACAAAGAGTCGACTAAATCCATTGTTGATCAGTTATATATCCATTTTTAATGTTGTTGCTCCAGCTAAATTGTCTAGCCATCCCACGACAATGGGTTGGTGGATTCCGGGAGCGGCATTCTTTTATGTTGCGTTTCTTTTATAGCAGTGTCAGTACGAGTGCAATTTTGACCAGTCTAAACCAATAGGTTCTGAAACGAAAATATTTTTAGCAGCTTTCAAACGCGATTCCAGATATCATTTGATGGCATTTACTGGGGCGTGGTTCGCATACCTATATTTTGGATGAATTTATTTAAATATTTTTGACAATGTCTAAAGCTACAAAAAAGTTTTCGACTTAACTCTATTTTAGTAAAAACTCTTTGGTTTATTTGTATCACATGAAAATATTGATCCAATAAGTGGTCATATGATGTGCTTATTGAAAACGGTTCGGGAATCATAGTAAAATGATCGATTTTTTGGCCTGGATGTTTGTAGAGCCCCCAGATATTTATGGAGCCCCATAGGAAACCACAGGTCCCAAAAATCAATTATTCGGACACAACACCCAAAACGCATTAATAACTCGTTGGATAGGTTTTCATTAGCTTTCGAACTATACCTATTTTCCGGAAGGTCGATAAAACCCCATACAAATATGCATATTTTGTCCCTTTACGAAGAAGCCAGCCGATGACTTAAGCCAGTCTAAAAAAGTCGTTTCGTCGTTTATTTCTTGAGCAAAAAAATAATTATCACAAGAAGAGATTTTTCGACATCAAATGGCGAAATGTAGTACGAAAACGACATACAAATAATTGAATTAAGTAATTCTTGTCCCTTTTATGGATAATAATGATAATATGGCTTATATGAACAACTCTACATCCACTCACTCCTGTAAAAGCAATATAGCTCTAGAGAGAAATATTGTTTTTTATTAATGGGTAAATGTATTATTTAACTTAAGCTTACGTTGACTACATGTAAAATTTTTCTAAATTGCAGTAGGAGTCACAAGCCACTGGATTCAATGCTGTTTCATTAAGAATGAATAGAACAAAAGAATTTTATCATTTTAATGGTTTTTAAATGTTTCAGGTAAACAAACTACTATATTCCTGTTTTATTTTTTAATTTATCTTTCGAGACGAGATTAACGATATGACATTTGCAGTGAAAAGGAGTGCCAGAGAGACACCATCACACACTTACCACTATGTAAAACTTTTTGCTGTTGGTTAAACGGCTCATCAGGCATATTTGATGTAGATCATCAGAAACATATAATATTTGTCTTAACAAGGCAAAACTCAAGAATTAAAATATTAGAACATTTGAAAATGAAAACGTTTACGTTAAGGGAATTTAGGAAAATATAATTTCTTCACTAAGACGGATAAGCACTCTATAGTCAATCCCACGGCAGCGGGTTCTACGATACCGGATTGACCCGAAACAACAAGATTCCAGTTTCGGCCAGCGGCTGCCAACCCAGTATGTACATGTTTGTGTTTGTTTATTTTTCTGCATTGGGAGCAGCATATCCCGGAATGCTTGCTCCGGATTTTATTGGTCCGTGCCGGGATTGAGGAAAACCCCGGACCTTGGTTCTGCTCGGTTTGTCAGAACGTCATCCACCACAGATCTGTCTCGGTGCGATGTAATGGATGCAGAGAGTGGGTGCACTTCAAGAACTGTTCCGGATTTAGGCGTTTGCGAGACTACAGCGAAAGGGACTATGTTGCGACTTGCTGCAGTAACGTAGTCCCCAGCGAGTCCTCTTCTTCGTCGTCCTCGTCAGAGACGTCGTCGGAGTATGGCACTCCACCGCAGTCTCCAGAACAGCAACCAACACCGCAGCACCTAACGCCACATGTTGCTGTTCCAACTCCGGATTGTGCATCATTCTTGCAATTCAATTGCAACGGACTTCGAGGCAAAATAGATGAGATAGTGGAATTTATGAGTCGGAGGAATATTAAGATCGCAGCGGTGCAGGAAACCAAGCTGAATGAAAATTGCAGCCTACAACGTTGTTATGGTTACAACGTACTAAGGAAGGATCGCACCAGAAGTGGAGGTGGGGGATTAACGTTCCTGTTACACCATTCTGTTCAGTACAGACCTATCTCGCTTGAGCTAGTCTCTAGTGACCCATACATGGAATGTGTGGGGGTAGCAGTCAAGTGTGGAACTGCCGAGGTAGAGGTGCTTAATGTGTATATCCCGCCGATTAATAGCTGTGAACCACGTTATTTGCCTGATATTAGCCCATTATTGGTAGGCAATAACCGCCTGGTACTAGGGGATTTTAATGCCCACCATGAGTTGTGGCATTCCGTCCTAGGTAATGACCAGAGGGGATCAGCGCTGGCAGAGCAGATTGACTGCTCCACATTCTGCACGGTTAACGAGGATGCCCCCACCCGAATAAGAGGAGAGTGTCACAGTTCGCCAGATTTAACCATAGTGTCACCCGGTCTGATAAATGACGTGACTTGGCAACCCGTCATTTCTCTTGGCTCAGACCATCTCCCGATAATCGTCTCCATAAGCAGGTCGCCCGATTTCATAACCTCTGAACGCCGCACTTTCCTTAACCATGGGAAAGCTCACTGGCCAGAGTTCAGAGAATTCACCAACCGCCGCTTCAGAGAACTGCCCAACCCTTCTGATGTTCGGGTAGCAGAAAGGATTTTCCGAAACATCATCAGAGCTGCAGCCGCTCGCTATATACCTGCTGGTCGAATACCCGAGATAAGACCAAACTTCCCAGCAGAGGCAGCGGGATTAGCAAACGAGCGTGATGATCTCCGTCGTACCAACCCTACTGATCCTAGAATCAGTGATTTGACAGTGGAAGTCAACCGGTTGGTACAGGAGCATAAGAGGAAAAAGTGGCTAGACCATCTGAAGTGCTGCAACATTGGAACCGATATGAGTAAGCTGTGGGTAACGGTTAAGTCGCTCTCGAACCCTGGAAAAAAGGATGATAGGACCTCAGTCACTTTTAACGACGTAACGGTGACTGATCCGAAGAGGTGCGCGGAATATTTTAACCGACAATTTGTCGAGCACCCCGAGAGTGATAGGGCGAAGCGAAGAGTACTACGTCGTATCAGATCTCTTCCCGCCGAGGAGGAACCACCACAGTTTACGATGGGTGATGTTGCAAATGTCATCCGTAACGCTAAGTCATCCAAAGCGTTGGGCCCGGACGGAATCTCAATGGTAATGTTGAAGCAGCTGGATACGCCGGGAGTCGAGTACTTAACAAAAGTTCTCAATTTGTCGCTAGCCACCCACATAGTGCCCGAAATCTGGAAAATGGGCCGGGTGGTCCCGCTACTGAAGCCAGGCAAGGATGCCAGTAAAGGCGAATCGTACAGGCCGATTTCGCTTTTGTCGCCAGTAGCAAAGACTCTTGAGGCTTTACTCCTCCCCAGCATTAGAGGAAGCTATGCAGTTGCCAACCACCAGCATGGATTCCGTCCACAACATAGTACCACAACAGCATTACACGCCATTTCCACACATATTAGTAGAGGACTAAACCAGAACAGGCCGTGTGACAGAACAGTGTTGGTAGCCCTTGACCTATCAAAGGCATTTGATACGGTCAATCATGCCACACTGTCAGAGAACTACCCTCCGGCCAAGTTTGAAACGTTGGATAATCAACTATATGTGTGGACGCCAGTCGTACGTGGAATTCCGGAACAAGAAGTCCAAAGCCCGTAGAGTGAAACAGGGAGTTCCCCAAGGTGGGGTGATATCTCCGGAACTGTTTAACCTCTACCTTTCCGGAATTCCTCGCCCTCCAGACGGCATTGAGATCGTAACGTATGCGGATGATTGTACGATCATGGCGTCGGGTCCAGTGGTCGATGACATATGCGAAAGGTTGAACCCCTATCTCGCGGAGCTTGCCGCATACTTCCACGCGAGGAATATGAAAATATCCGCCACGAAATCAACGGCCACACTCTTTATCACATGGTCTGCGGAGATGAGAACACAGCTGAATGTTCAGGTCGAGGGGAATTTAATACCGACCACGAACTACCCCAAGATTCTTGGGGTAACGTTCGACAGCATGTTCAAGTCGTCCGCGCAAGCCACAGCTATCTGCGACAAGATGAAAAGTAGGAACAAGGTCCTCAAGGCGCTAGCCGGCAGCTCTTGGGGTGCGGACAAAGAAACCTTGTTGACCTCTTATAACGCGATAGGTCGGTCTGTGGTCAACTATGCGGCTCCAGTGTGGTCTGCGAATACTAGTGCTACGCAGTGGAAGAATATCCAGACCTGCCAGAACGCTGCCCTGAGAACTGCGACAGGGTGCCTCCTCATGACACCAGTGGACCATCTACATGAGGAGGCGAAAGTCCTTCCCTTACGTCAGCATAATCATATGCTTTCGTTGCAGTACCTGCTTGGGTGTTACCGTGAGAGCCATCCCAACCATCACATGGTGGATAACTCTCCCCCACCCAGGCGTGTCAGGAAGGACATACATGATCTAGAGAGGGAGGTCCAGCGCTACAAGAGAGAGCCTCTAGATCAAGAAGCCTATCAGGCAGGTCTGAGTGGCATTCACACCGATGCAGTCGCGGATGCTATTAGCAGTTATAAAGTGAATGCCGTCCTCGGAGTCCACCCCCCATCCATTGCAGCCGAAGAACGTCAGCTGCCTAGACAAACCAGAGTAGTTTTGGCGCAATTACGTTCAGGATGGTGTAGTCGCCTCAATTCGTATTGGGCACGAATTGATGAAGATGTGCGTGACGCCTGCCCGGCGTGTGATACAGGCCCGCACAATACGCTACACCTTTTTAATTGCTCAGCCAAACCTACCCAACTCACTCCAGAGGATCTCTGGCTACAGCCCGTTAAAGTAGCCGAATTTCTAAACCTGGAGCTGGAACCAGATTAGCAGAACACAAACACACACACATGTACTACTGCTACAACAACAACAACAACAGCACTCTATAGTACTTTCAGTATATTTAAGTCTGATTTTCCAAAACAACATCATCATAAAAATTTTGAAACTTATATGAAAAACTTGTTAAAAACTCAAGTCACCTTTTTATTTATTAAAGGCTTCTTAGCCAGGAAGGAGCGTTACTTGCTTATTCTGGTTATGGCGATAAAGACAAAGATGCAAGAGTTACAGCAGCCATTGCAAGTAATATCTGGGCTGCATATGAAAAACATGGACGTAATGCGTTTCGGGAGGATCGTCTACAATTTGTTTTGCTTGACTGCGAATGTGGACACGTTGCAATCACAAAAGTAAGTTGTATTTTTAAGGAATTGCACAATTTGGTAAGAATGTTAAATAAAATATTCATATGGCTGGGGCCATACTCATTCTTATTATTGTTAATTTTTATTTGTCTATTCTATCATAGTTTAGCACTATTTTTAAGTTAATCTTCCAATGCATGTATAATTGGCCTTCAGTGGCTTTCTTTGTATTGAATGTAAATAAACAAAATAAAATAATATTAACCTTTTCCAGGTCGCCAGTATCTTGTTATGTCTGTATGCAAAAGAACAGGTGGGATTGGGATTACTAAAGCAGAAAGCAATGGCACTGGCCTCATATCTAGAAGGTCCATTAAAGCAAATAGCAGCAGCATCTTAATGAAAATGTATTAATGTATAGCTTACCATTTAGATGTATATAAAAAATAGTGAGAGTAATTTTGGAAATAAAAATGTAAAAATTAATGTGTGTGTTTGCTTTTAATTAATTTTGAAAAATAGCATATTACAACTGAGTAAAAATATTTTTGTAATATACATTTAAAGTTAATTGCCATTTTTTAAATTGTATACAATTCTTTCAATTCGACTAATTATATTGTAAAGCTTTTTGAATTTTAATTTAAAGATTGCAGAAAATCATAATGGGCACAATTTATGGTAAACGTTTAGCCGAAATGGTACTGTTTAGCTCAAAGGGGAGTAATGAGTCTAGCAGTGGACCGTAGGGTTATGCAAATATGAGTAGAAATAAAAAACAAGAGTTTTTCTTAATACACATGCAACTATTTATTGCTAGGTTGATTGGTTGGTGGTAACGATATTACCTGTAGCAACAATATGCCTTTCATGCACAACGATATGTGCTTGCAAACGATATTGCGGGTTTTGTCTGTCCGAATGACAGCGAAATACTGCTTGATGTCTAAAGGAGGCGGCAACTCAAGTTCAAGTGTGTTGGCAACTGGAGAGTCTTAGCTACTGGCGACAAAAGCGAAATCGGCCTGTGCGATTCGCCTTTGCTTCAGTAGCGAGACCACCCGGCCCATTTCCAGGCTTCGGGAACTATGTGGGTGGCTAGCGACAGGTTGAACATTCATTAGGTACTCGATTCCCGGCGTATCCAGCTGTTTCAGCATTGTCATTGAGATTCATTCTCGGTCCAACGCTTTGGATGACTTTGCGTTCCGGATGGCATTCGCAACATCACCTATGGTAAACTGTGGTGGTTCCTACTAAAGGGCTGCAAATGTGACAATTTTCTCTATTTATGCCATGGAGAGAAAATGCTCGTTAGGTTGTGCCTTGTTTGATCAAACGCATAACAGTACGTGACATCCAACCAAATGCTCGATGTCTCGTCATGTCGGTCACACTCAAACCCATCGTCATAACATGTAATAACCAATAAAAGGGAATGTTGAATAGTGTGGCATACAAAAATGTTCTATGTGATGAAGGCAATGCGCGATCGCTACCTGCTTTTCCGATATGTGAAAATATAAAATTTTTGTAATAAAGAATTTTTTGACGAATACTAAAATATTAAAGGTACTTCTAATTGGTCCACACAAAATTTTCACATTTCGTAGTCATTGACGAAACAATCTAAAATGTTAATCCTTATTAAAAAACAATAATCCCCTGAAAAATATCATAAATGTTTGCCTCCGGTAGTGAGGTGTAAATGAGAATGAGTGCTACTGTAACTCAAATAACAACACTATATACTTGTTCAATTCTGTGCGTATTCTGTTATTGAATGAGAGTCAAATCTCTGCCCACAAACTTTAATTTTAAAAGAACACTATATTAAGATAGAATACAGGCAAACAATATTTACCTCTTTTTTGTGGCCAACATGATAATCACCAATAAATTGGAATTGTTCAGTATATATTTCATTTTTTTCTATTCATTTGTTGATGTCTATGCACATTTTGTTATTGAACTCAATTTTATATTTACGCGGTGTTTGTTACTTTAAAATTGCAGCACACACAAAAGCACATCCTCACCGTCGAAAGTAACACACACACCCTCTCAATTAAAGCACACGTACACAAATGACACACAATTTGACGATGACACGGTTCGATGTCATCGTTGACACCCTGCATTTATGGAGAAAACCATGCAAATATTCGAGTCAGCCATGCCACGATCCAACCTTCGACAATGGCACACATGAATCAAAATGGGGAATGTTGTGGTTGTCATTGCCCATCATAATACATAACGCATGACTGAGTAGACAAAGTCAGTGTGTCGAAAAAAGCATAATTCATACAATTCGTCTTGTGCAGGGGGTGGATTCTTGTTCTATGAAAATATGAAATGAAAAATATTTCCTTTATAAAATTTTTCATTTGACATTTCTATCCTTTATAAAGTTTTCATTTCACATTTTCATAGAAAAAGAATTGAGGCCCAGGTCTTTAGTTCCTACTCTTCGCTTCGCCCTGTCACTTTCGGGGTGCTCGACAAATTGTCGGTTAAAATACTCTTAGTAACTACTTTAGTTTCGTCTAATACCGACAAATTTCGTCAAATATCAAAAACATAACAAATGAAAAAATGCATTTATCAATAAATATCATCAATTCTGTTGTTTAATTAAAAAGGGTTTTTAGCACACACATTTTGGGTGACAGCGTTATGTTATGACTGAATAAAACTATCGTTGAACTTTTTATAAGTTTATTATGAATGTAAATTTTAAGTGGGTTTTTGCTTCTGGAAAAGTTAAGAATCAATATTATATTCAAATTAAATGACATTTATTACTTATTATTTAAAGAAACTTAATAAAAAAACGAAATTTATTCTATGGCGTACAATTTTAACGTACGGTCCATACTCGTCGATGCAATATACTGAGCATGTTTTCCGAAACGAACACCTGTGGCAAGTGCTGTGTGGTCATTGAATATTTTCAAATCCTGCCATTGTTTACACAGATATATCCTGAAAGAAGAAGAAATGTATACAATATATATTAAAAATAATTTGAAATTCACGCATAAATAAAATTTAGGTTTAAATGTTAAATATTATTTCAATGTTTCCCTTTCGAGCTTAACGATCTAAATACAATGATAAGAAAAGCCAAAATTTCCAAGACAGAGCACATTACAGTATAATAATTATAGGTAGCAACAAACTTCAGCTTATTTTACTCTATAGTAATACTAGTGTCAAATTCGATATGACGTTTTGTAATTTGATTCCATTGGGCCTCTTTATGTACTTGCAAAAATTGTACTGAATATGAACTTAGTATCGAGAAATGTTATGAGACGTTAAATTAATATATAATACAAAAGTAGTTCAAATAAGTCATCAAGGATAACATGTGAGTTGATGAGTTTGAAGAACTTGAAGAACCAGTTTTTCCGTGAATTTAAAAAATCGGAATCTGACATTGACTACGCTAATAACTCTATTTCAAGGTCGAAGTACACACTTGAGTCTCCTTGATTGTATAACGATTACCTTGATAGAATTAAAAAAACATTCGATAAAAAAATCCAAAATCAATTTATTAATAAATTTAAAAAGAAAGACTTCAATCAAAATTTAAAAATTCAAAAACAAAGATTATTTTAATGATAGCGAGATCGCTCAATACTTTGCAAGTTTCTTTTCGTCAGTTTATTCAACTAAAGGTTCTTAATCAATTGATCATTATCCCTATGACTTGTGTCAACTTGGACAGGTAAATATTTCACATTTTCTTGATACAGATATATCTGATGGTTTGCGCAATTTAAAACCAATTAAGAGCGCAGGTCCTGATGGTGTTCCTAGCATTATACTAAAATATTGTTATACCACCTTAGCTACCCCATTAACACTATTGTTTAATAATTCTTTAAAATTTACATACGTTCCCTCTCTCTGGAAGAAATTTTGTTTAATTCCATCAGATAGCTTATCTGACGCACCCAATTATAGGGGTATTGCAAAATTAAGTACAATTCCAAAACTATTCGAAAAATTAATAGCTGATATATGCTGTGTTCCAGTACCCGCAACTAGTTTTACAATTTTTTCGATATCATAAAGGGAAAATCAGTTATCGAAGTAAAAACTTTTACATTCTAGCAGTTCTGGAACAGACCAATAATTTCACATAAAGTTGAGCCTTTTTTAGGTCCTTACCAACATCGTTTTCGGGCGGGGTTTTCGACTATCACAAATCTTACCCAATTTACCTCCATAATTGTAAAGGGATTTATTAATGGTATGCAAACTGATACAATCTATACAGATTTTAGTAATGCGTTTGATACAGATGATTTAAAGATATTTTTTACACAAAAGTCCAGTGGACAGTCAGATTTATTCAATATGACCTCAATAACTTGTTTTCATGGTGCTATTTAAATTTCATGGACTTAAATTTAAAAAAAAAAATGTAAATCTACTCCTTTATCAACTCTATATAAAATTAACGAGAACATTTTAACACCCGGGGAATCCTTTGTTTATCTTGGCCTCCAAATTGAAACCAAATTATCTTTTAATAATCATATTTTATCAATTGTTAATAAAGCAAATGCTGTTTTAGGATTCATAAAACAATGGGCTAAAGAATTCTCTGATCCGTATGTTACCAAGCAATTATTTGTACCACTTGTTCGGTCCATACTAGAATATGCTAATTATGCCATCTATTCCGATAAAATTGAATCGGTGCGAAAACAATTTCTGCTTTTTGCATTACACCCTATACTAGCAGACTAAAATTAATTCGATTTTTTGCATTAAAAAGTAGACGTATATTTTGCAATACCACAATGACGTCTAAAATCTTTAATGATGTCGTGCCTTCGGACTCTCTTATTTCTTCTTTCAGAATTAATTTCCCATTTAGATTATCAGTTTTTAAATACTGATTTTCACTGAACTAATTACTCTATGGATGAACCTCTATGGATGTGCCTAGACTTCAATTCTTTGTATGATATCGTAGATTTTGAATGCCATCTAATTTTCCACCATGGTTCGGATCATGGTGAGTATGCGATCCCTACGTAATGCCAAATAACAACGTTTTAAAAATTGATACTTTATTAAATTCACCCCATTGTAATATTTTCCAATAACAAACATTTAAATTTTTATGTTTATATTTTCAACGCACAAAAAATAAATTGCTCAATTGTCAGTGTTGAAATTCTTCAATTTTAGAATTTCGTACGCCCGACGTATTTGGATAACTCTCACATAACTACATGTGTTTAAATTGTGATGCTATGTTCTCATTACACTTTCAATCACGTTGTTCGCTCTCAGAATTAGGCACACAAATTAACCCGTTCATACGGCACGATTCGTAATTCATAGTAAAATAATTCCTTTTTTCAAAAATTTTGTTTGTTGATTTTAATGGGAATTTATACGAAAATACGAAAAAGAAGAAATTATTGTTTTTCTCCCAAAGATTTATTATATCATTAATTTTACAATTTTCGTTCACGTTTTCAACTTTTTGTGTAAATGTTGACATTTTTTTTTATTTTTCTTCTGGGCATATAGAATGCCTTATTTCTTTTATTTCTTGTAATCTTGGTCGAGAATCCATGGAAAAAGTCATCGTTTACACACTACAATGTTAATAAAAATAATTGGATGCTACTTTATGTGAATTAATATTAAAATATAAATTTAAATGTTAATATTTTTCAATTTACGATTCAATTCATTGAACTTCAGAATTTTTCGCACAAAGAAATCACCATAACGATGGGAAACCTTAGTATCGGCAATGTGAATCATGTCGTCATCAATGTAGAAGCCCAACTCTGAACCAGATTTAAATGTGCCTTCCAAACCACTGGAACCCTTGGACCAAACCAAATTGCGCATTTTATGCTTGAAACACAAGAGACGAATCAACAATTTCGATACATCATCTTCGCTGGCTTGAGGATCAATGAATGAAGCCAATTTAGCCAGTGGCAGGGTGGTGTACAATTTCAAGTATGAACGTGTGGTTGGTAGATCAGCTTGTTGTCGTACTTCATCCATGAATACCATCAGTTGATGTTCCATTGGATCTTTGACATAATCTTCAACGGGAGCATCAGCAGCAGGACGACAGGGACTAACAAAACGTGGGCAGGCAAAGAGGAAGAACGATTTGAATACATCCAAGTCACCACATTGCATCTTGAACATGGCATCGTGATAGTTCTTTTCACGCAACACCTGCTGTATAGACTCATCAATACACTGTGGATGCAAGACCAAACAAATGGCCAACAAATGATACATTTGTTCAGCTTGTTTGTTGATCTGATCATTTTGGTATGAACGTGTACTGTACAATTGCTTGGTACGTTGGATGTACAACAGAATTTCGGAGAATGTGCGAATAGCATCAGCATAACGGCGCATCATCATGTAGGCAAATCCAACATAGTATGATGTAGAAATCTGGCATGCAGGGATGTGGGAATATTGGGATTTCTTGTGAATTTCAATTGGTTCCAAGACCTTGATGGCTTGATAGCAGTCACCCAATAGGGAATGGACACGCAACAATCCAAACAATGAGAAGTAACCCAACATTTTGTAGAATGATAATTCACCAAATTCTCCGGCAACAGCCTGGGGATCGTTACCCTGAGAGATGGCTTCCAATTGTTTTTTAATATTGGAGATATCTACCAAGGAATGTAAGACGTTGAGGATGCACAAAATACTCCAGACATTGCTGTGGTTAACACACAATTCATGGATTTCTTCTTGGGTTTTGTCGGTCAGACGAGCTCTGTATTGAGCGAAATTCTGGAACTGATAAACAAACTCATCAACCAATTCCCACAACCAAATGTCGGGTAGTTCGAACAAAACTGGACTTTGTGAAGAGATAATTAAATTGAAGAAATCACAATAGTTGAAGAACGAATTGATGCGTTGTTCCAACCAGGAATGCGTGCATGGATGTGACGATAGTACAATTCCTTGTAAAGAATCAAGAACAAATTGTCATTGTCAACCAAGGCGGCTACTTGTTCCTCATCAGGCCAGGCAGACTTATCAAAGTGATGATCACTAATTTGTGGAAAGGTATTCTCGTACATGTTCTGGATGTCAAACAAGACGCCGTCTTTCACAGCTTGGCAAAAGTTGAGCAGGAAATATTTCACATTTTCCGGCATGCGATAGTAGTTATTGCGTTCATAGGCCAGATCCAATTGTGGATCTCCAGTATGGGCGTACTCATCATAGTATTCCACATTGCCATAATCTTCTCCAGCATACTGTTACGTTCTTGGATTTTACTTAATCCCGTGTAGACGTTGTTTTATTTCCCAATACAGCTCGTACCAAATAAAACGCGGGTTCTTTCGGATTACGATTATTACAATGATTTTATTCACACAACTTTACTTTGCACTTTACTTTACTCGACGGTTTCAATTCGCGATCTGATTCACAACTGACTAACTGCCTTTCCATTTCCCCTATTTATATGAGCCTCGCCCGTCGCTACAGAAGTTTCTAGACGATCTGGTAACGCCTAGATTACGAACAATCTACCAATGCAACGAACACATACAAACTTACATTGAGTGAACAATAACAACAACACATACACAGGCGAGGGGGTAAGAAAGAGGAATTAAGCGATCATCAATGATGACGTTTAACAAGAATTGTACGTCAGCAACAAAATAGAAAATGAAAGAGGAAATGGAAGGATGTAGAAAAATCTATACAGTAGTTGTTGTTGTGAAGTTATTCAAATAAACTGCGTAGTAGAAATTTACGTTACAATTCAAATTCTTAAATTAACGGAATTCATCTAAATTAACTTAAATCTAAAGTTATATTCGTAACAATACATTTTGAAGTTATTTATAATATTTACTGCAAATTTTATAGAAATTCCACGCAAATGACAGTAACACACCAACAATGATTTCTGAACATATTTTTGTATATTTCAATTTTTAAATTCTGCTGAAGAGACATTTGTCAAACATTTTCTCTGACGATACTAACATTTTGGAAATATTGCCTCTTTTGTTTGCAGTTTTATGTGGAAATTTCAACTCGTGGACAAAATGCGTACCTCGAATGAGAGAGAAAACAAAATGTTATTTCATTTGAATGTACATACGCCATTCAACATTGTAGTTTTCATTCATAATTTTCAGTCTTCCCAAAAATGTTTAAAATTTCATTAAATTTTTTTATTTTTAATTTTTAAATGTCATAATTTATTTTTTCGATAAAAGCTCTCATTTGTTATGGATGGGACATATTTTTTCGTTGTTTTGAGAGTAATTTGATTTGAACAGTGTACAAATATGAGTGTTCGCCCAGGAAATTTTGTGTGAAGAATTAGGTAGTTTATTCATAGTTAAGGGTCAAACAACGAATAGAGAGCGAATCAAGTGCAGTGAAAACGCCACATGAGGTGAAAAACGTCGACTGAGTACGTCGAATTTTAGGTAGCATGTAACTCATTTTTGAGTTACCGAAAAAAGTCGGTAAAATTAAAATTCGGATAATTTGGCGATTAACGAAATTTGTCGAGTAGTTAGCGAGAAAATCAAAGTAGTAGCTAAGACCAACCGATAGATACCAATGTTGTCAACTTTTACTTATTTTCTATAACAAAATTTTGGGTTTCAATGTTACTGATTTTTGTCGGTAACTCAAATAATGAGTTAGAATATCCAATCCCACTACTGAATACATTTTTTTCCATTTGGTAGTTCTGTAATGTCAAAACATACATATAATTTTAAAAATGTTCAAATTCTGTTGAATTTTAAATTCATTTTACAGCTTTTGTGGAGAACAAATGCTTCCGTTTCGGGAAGAAAAAGAATTACCATCGTATTATGAATCCAATGTTGTGAAAATTCCACATCATTCCATTAGTTTTTCACGAGTTTCCCTTATATAAAAATATTGCAAAAAAAGTGTCAAATAAAATACAAGTTTGTTGCATTTGTGATTGGTAAATTTGAAATTTCAAGACTCTAGCTTGTAGGGAGACAGGTTGATGGCTTCGAACGTTGAGACGACAACATTTAGTTGGCTGCACTAAGGTCCGTGGCTCATTTTTGTCGTATTATGAAACGAATCTATTGATTTCGTTGTATCACGAAGAAGCGTTGGAATAAAGCTAATTGTGTATGTACTATTAAGTTCCCCTTATATTAGAGAAAAAAAAAAATAGTAAGCAATATGGTACCCGTTTTTATACCCTCCACCATTCTATAGAGGGTATATTAGCGTTGGCATTCCGTTTTTTACTCCTCGAAATACTCATGGTAGACCCTACAAAGTATATATACTCTAAGTCGATTTAGCGATGTCCGTCTGTCTGTTGTAATTATGCTATCTTTCGAACGAATTGAATATCGAATATCGGTCCACGTTTTCGTATAGTCCCCATATAACAGTACATCCCGATATTAGGTATTTTCATAATTTTAGCGACATTGTAAACCGTAATTGTTTCAAATTTCGTATACAAATTATTAATAAGCCGTTAAAAAAGTATTAAATAAATAAATGAAATGAAATAAAAAATCGTATGCTTTTCCACGACTTCGTATAGCTCCTATGACAAAAATTCTGATTCCTGGAATGTACGTACATTTGTAATGTTTTATATTACATGACATTTTTTCATTATGACTTACAATTTTTAATGTACTTTTGTAGTGTTTTTGTTTTTAATTCTAATGCGATGGCAGTTGTGATTTTTTTTGGTAGTGTAAAGCAGCATCTGACAAAATGTTTTATAAGTCGAGAACTGCTGCACTGATTTTGACAATTCACACCATTTAGTCTCTTGACAGAAAAGGAAAAAATCGCGTAAAAATACGCTAATAAAAATGTGAATATTTTTTTACATTTTGTCCGTAACATAAGGGTATATTAACTTTATATATATATATATATATATATATATATATATATATATATATATATATATATATATATATATATATATATATATATATATATATATATATATATATATATATATATATATATATATATATATATATATTCTCTTGATCAACATAATATTCTATGCCGATTAAGCGCCTGTCTGTCTGTTTGTCCGTCCGTTTGTGGAAACCACTCTAGCTTCCGAACGATATGAAGTAGGTTGATAAAATTTTACTCAGATGTGTGTTTGTTCAGCAGGACTTTTGGTATTGAATATGGTCCACAAAGAGGTATAGCCTCTTTATAACCGTTACGACAGATTTATTGTTTTTTGGAAAGTGTGATTAGGTCCTTCCATATATATCATTCATAGTGAGCCTCTGAGAGGTTCAAAAGACTATAGCACGTTATTTTTGTAGCTGAAATGTCGGATTGTTTTAAATAGTTAATAATAAATTACAGCTATTGAGTCAATTATAGAGCATGAAAGTTGTACCAACGGTTGTATCGTGTGTGGCTTGCATTATATTGGTAATTTCGAAAAGTAAATATCGAATTGACAATTGAGCAGGCATTTCATTGAATGGGGAAAATATAAGATTCTTGGATTAAAGTTTTAGAGCCAGATTTGGATATAGGATCAGTGAAAATCAGTTAGACATATCTATAGGTACATGCATGTTCTGCTGATTTATAAATAATGGTGGATTTTTTAGAGACATATGATAAGATGTTTATTTGTCTGTTTTTACTAAAACATAATGGACAAAATAGAGACATATATCAAATCAGGAAGTTGTGGATAAAACCACAAAATAAAAATACAATTTATTCTATGTCTCTATGGCAACTCTGCCCATAAGAGGACAAGACTTAAACACAACACATTTTGTTCATAATATTTTGCAACCACGGCAACGGTTTCACATTTTGCTCAGAGGATAACTGCATTACATTACTTGTAGTGTTGGTCCGAATGTTGAAATTAAAGAGGAAAAACAAAATTTATTCAAAATATGAAGGTATAATTTAAGAATTTTTTCAACGACTTAAGAAACGCCTTTTTGTCATCTGAGATTTTACATTAATCTGCCATTTGATAATAATAACGGTCAATTCTCACAATTATTCAGGAAAAAGAAATTAAGTTAACACATTAGGTTAACTTCTAAAGCAGCTTTGGTATAAAAACGTGCAAAATATGGCCTTTTAATGCTATGTGTTTTAAACTATTCCTCTTGAATGCTAATTTGTGCAAACATTTTCATATCCTTTTATTGTTACAGATATGTTTAACCCCACTGATTTGAAAGATCCAGACAAAGCACAGAGGATAAATTTAACTATTGAAGACTTTGATGCGGTAAGATATAAATTGCACTACTTCACATCATCATATCTTAATAATGTAATTGTTTTAAATTACATTCCGTAATTTATATTGCAATAACCATCTCTATATTCTCGTAAAAAGGTTATTAATCAATAAAATCACCCGAAAATACCTCGAGCGTACGACATTTCAAAGTTAAGCGATTTTAACATTGAGAAAACTTACTTGTGATCTTTTGTGTGTTGAATACAGAAACGAATAAAGGAGGAAATGTCATGTTTATAATTGGAAAATAACATATTACAATCAATTATCGTATCAATTATCAATACAATGTTATTATTTGGAAATTTTAAGATATTGACTTGATATTGACTTGGACGGACCTACAAAACATTTTGCTATAGTAGAGAAGTTTGATATTTGGGTAAGCTACGTTGAATTTTAGGCAACTCTGCAATATTTAGGAGTAAACATGAATAACTACTTGTGCAGTGGAAAATGTTTATAACTCGCGACGATATAAAATAGCAATATACAAAAAGATTTTCAATGATATAGTAGGGAATCCTATGATAGGGTTTCCATTCTGGCTCCACGAAAGTGTGAAATTAAAAACTATGGAAAAGCAATTTAAACCAATCACTTCAAGTCTATTTTAGCACACTGGTGGGATTTCAAACCTTTTTTGCCTTTCATGTAAAATGTGAAATAAAACTTTACAACATAATTTCTATCGTAAAGATCTAGCGACTACTTTCTTTTTATCTATGGAAATCATCTATGGAAATCGTGACATCAATCTTCATCAAATAAATAGTGTGAGCAATTTCAATGATAGAATTCTCGATATAGCGTTTCTAAATGTAAGTTAGCACTTTGAAAAATCTGGAATTCCATCGATTTTCAGTTCAGAAGATATGCATCATCCAACCTTATGTGTTTACATGATACACATTAATGTAATTGACGAAATAAAGTCCGTTTCATTTAAAACTGTTAGTGATTATAAAAAAACTTAATGTCCTTATAAAGTCTCCGTATAGAGTCTCATAGGTTGTATAATCTTTCCCCTAACAAGAATAATTTTAAATTCAATCCTAAATCCTTTTATGATTTTGTTAATCTAAAATGAAATGTTTCGTCAAAGCCCTCAATATTAAAATTTAACAATAAAGAATTTGTTACGGCGTTTATATTGCTAGATATTTTGCTACAGCCTCTTCATGAACACCTTAAAAATAAAAGATTCTTATCCCTCTAAATTGTCGCAGACTTATCAAATGTGTATGCAATGTAACAGTTTACGTAGTTGAACATCAATTAAAAGTCCAGGCCCTGTTGACATGACTAATATAATTCGCAAGTATTGACACATTAGCACTCCATTGTCTAACTATTCACTAAAATTTGGCCACTTTTTTCATATTTTATCAACTGTGGAATCATTTGTCGACCTTGGTCTTTTGAAGGATCCAAAATTAAATTTTAATAGTTTAATGTAATAACAATGGTAAATAAAGCAAATGGAGTTTTTGATTTTTTGTAACACGATGATATTACAATTAATGTTCGTTTTAGATCTAGAATATATCATTAATTTTTATATACCGATTTTCACCGCACAAACTATTCAATGGGTAGTAAGATGTGTGTTGATAGATTTTAGTATGAGTTTGAAATTATTAAATCTAGAATAATTTTATTTTAATGCGGCCAATATATGTATGTTGTATTAGTTGTTAAACTAGCTAATGAAGTAGATTCTGTAGCTTATTTTCGATTTCCTACTTAATTCCCATAATGATGCACACGAAAGGGAACGTTCGAATAGCTTGACTCGAATAAACAACAAACGCATAAATAATTTACATATGATTAACCCGTATTAGTACAGAGCACTATTAAAGGTGTATGCATTGGAAGCATTGTAGTGTTGTGGACAAAAATGCACCACTACGAAAACCAGTTTGACTATGCTAACTTAAGTCGAACTTGGAGGGTTTCTGGTATTTAATTTGCTTATGCTTAATCATTAAAAACTAAATTCCAAAGAACGGCGTCACATAGTGGTGATTGTGTGATAGTGTCTATCTGGCTTTTCTTTTCACTGTAAATTTTATAAACATATGTTCTTCGCCTTAACAAGGAAAAACCCAAAAAAATCATATTAATTTATCAAAATCATAAAATTTATGAGATAAAAAAACTGCCACAAACTTCAGACTGCTGTCATTTCTAAGTCACTTGTCCGAAAGCTGTTAAAACTATTCCAGTGACAGCTTATTATATTGTTTACAAGCGAGCAAAAGCATTTTGGTGAAAATTTTCCAGACAAAAAGTTATTCGTGATGGAATTCAGGTATGATAGTGTGATTTCTTTATATTTGGCTGGAAAACCACAAGTGGCTATCGTTAGGGCACTCCAGCATTTAAATGTGAATAAACTTTTTGTGTTTCGTACCATCGATCGTTACCGTGATACTGGTAGCGTAGCCCGACGTCAAGGAAGTGGACGGAAGAAAACAGCAACATCAGCAGAAATGGCTCGAAAAGTAAAAAAAGCGACTTGATCAAAACCCGCGTCGCAGTTGCCGAAAATGGCTCGTGAGCTGAACGTATCGCAATATTCCATTCGACAAATAGTGCAAGAACTTAACCCACAGAAAGAAGGAAAATAGAAACAAAAGAGCTAAAGAGTTGCTTCGCTTGGCCGAAAGTGGTGAACTGCTGAATTTGGTTTTCTCCGATGAGAAAACATTCGTTGTCCAGCAAAATCAAAATAATCGTGTTTACTTGCCAAAGAGGTCAGATGAAAATGTGCACCTTCGGTTGGCCACCAGAACTGAAGCGCCGGCCATGGTGATGGTGTGGGCCGCCATAAGAGCCGATGGTCCCTCTCCACTCGTATTAATCGACTGCTGGGCACAAAAACATTTTGGCCGCAGACCTTGGACATTCCAACAGGACTCAGCACCGTCGCACTCAGCACGCGCCACCCAAGAATGGTTACAAAATGAGGTTCCTCGCTTCATTTCCAGCGCACAATGGCCACCAAAATCTCCGGGTACCAATCCTTTTGACTATTCTATCTGGAGTATTTTGAAAATCAATTATGGCGCGTAACTTTGTTGCAGTTTTTTATCTCACCCTGTATACACGAATAATTTCAGTTTTTTTAATTTTATTTATTTTTTGAAAAAAGATATAAAATACATCTTCCATTGGTTAGGTAACTTGCAGTAGTCACGGGCGACACCCCAAGCCTTCAAATTCCAACCTAGTTACCTCCCTCTATCTCTATGCCACAAACTTTTAAGAACCGTATCGAAAAAATCAAGTATCAAATCGATAAGAATACTTTTTGAAATTTGGCCAACGTTAATTGAGTCTTATATAAGAAGCATATAAATAAAATTGAAATCCAAGATGGCGGCCGCTACCAAATGGCTGATAACAATTTTTTATCAATTCCACCAATATACATTATATTCCACCAATACATTATACTATACAAGTTCAATATTTAAGATGGCGCAGCCACTAAATGGCGTATAATAATAAGATTTAAATTAAGAAATTGCATCTGAAATTCTGGTATCTGATTAATCCAGCCGGATTCCACCCCTCAAGTCAAGATTTTGTATCGTGTTAAGAATTGTGTGTGCGTTAGGGTGGCTAAAATTGTCAACCGTTTAAATGCCCATTACTCGTACGAACAAAATGTTACAATATAAAATATGAATTAAACAGAATGCAAAAAAAAACTAAAAACTAGAAAATAAAAAATAGGTAAAAACTTTTTAAGTTAAAAGGTTTTATGTTAAACATACATGATGTTTAAGATAAATGTACTAAAAACCAAAAAATAAGAAAAATAGATACAGTCGCGGGAATTATAAACATATGCATAGACTTGACTAAAATAAAACCGTGGGGCACGTCAATTCTCTACAATATGCATATGCAATTGAAGTGCCCCTCGGTTTTATTTTAGTCATAATTAAACAATTTCGTTTTATGTGTGTTGAAAATACAAAAAAATGTTGTTGTGAATGTAATTGGAAAAATATAACATTTGGGTGAAAATTATCAATTTTTATAACATTATTAGTTGGTAGATTTTAAGCTGCTGGTAACACCAGCGAACGAAGATAAACTATTGGAACCGTTTGCAATCGTTTCGTTCTGTATTGTCTCGAAGTACGAAACAAAACAAAACCGATATTAAGATAACGGGACTTGTTTCTTATTTTGTACTGTTTGTGTAGATGTGTGGAAACAAAACCAAAACTGAAATGTACTCTCCTGGATGACGCAACATTGGAAACGAAACAGTACAATACTCAATACAAACGTATGCAAACGTTTCCCTGCATATTAAATCAATACAAACAAGTAAAAAAGCTGTATGTTCGGCCGGGCCGAACTTTTAATACCCTCCACCATTTGGTACAAATTTGGCAATTTCCAAAAAATAAAATCCGTTAAAAATTTTGTTAAAATCTTAAAAATACCGAATGCTTATACGACGACGTGGGTCTGCATAGGCAACTTTTGTCATAAGTTATTACAATATTTAAATGCGAAACTTGAAGAAAAATCTGTTTATAATGTAGCTTTTTTCGATCGATTTAAACCAAGGAAAATAATTAAAATTCAAAATTTGAAGTTTGTGCAGTAGTAATTGGCTATTAGTATTTTGGAAACTATTTTTGGAGTTCCTTGCCATTCACTGTTGTTGGAGTTACGTGTTAATTGCAGCTTTTCTGGAGTGCCACAACAAAATATTTCTGCTGCTTTGTCTTGCTGGTAGATGCGTATAGTTGCACATATTTAAAATGCCGTCACAATTGATCTGCAATGAACATATTGCAAAATCTAAGTACAAAATTGGATGCACTGGTTGTGTGAATTTTTTTCATTTGGATTGTGTGGGTGTGTCTGAAGCTGAGGCTAGAGTTAATAAGGCTCTTAGATACACTTGTAGTGCCTGTGTGCGGTCTGCTGGTGGTGATGGCGTGTCTGGT